TAATTGAGCAGATCTTGGTATTTTTATTCACATCGGTAATTTCCTTACAATATTTTTAAAGGTAAAATTTGAAAATTTTTGTTACGATACTTAGTCAAGATATTTAACAACGAACTCAATTATTTGGTTTTTATTTCGCTTTTATACGATCAGAGCAATTAGAATTTGTGTTACAAGAAAAAAAACTATCTCACTCCAAATAACTCAGAAGCGGGAAATCATCGGGGCGTACTAGCGGAAAAAGCGGCGTTTCGTAATTGTCTGAAGTTCAGACGACCTATGGCGCTTACGCTTGGCGATAAGATTGGCTTCTTCTTATGTTTAAGGAAATATGAATCAATATGTATCAAATATATAGGTTACTAATCTAACCAGACCGTAACTTTATAAAGGTATAGTGCAAGTTTCTTTGAGATTTTTTGTAAATACAGCATTATTAATTAAGCTACTTTTGCTTACATTCTTTACTAGTCTTTTTATGCCAACGTGAAATGAAACTAGATTTTGTTTTACTTGTCTTTTCAAACCAATAATTTCGTTTTTAAACTACATTATTATTAAATTTTACATACTATATATTAACATATAAATAATAATTTGAGTATTCACACTCACACTCCGTTAGACAACTTGGAACTAAACTAGAAAAACCTAAACCATCTAGAACATATCCAAACTACAAAGTATTATAAAGTAAGCGTTTTCAGAATACTAAACAAGTTATGGCGTTTTATAGACTTCGACAGTGACTTGGAAATGAACTCGTCTCGTCATCCTGATCATTTATATATATATATAACTCTATATCTAATTCGATTACTTTGAGGTTACAACTGTTAGGTGCACAAAAGTATTATACTCTATGTGAGGTTAAAAAAAATTACGGTCTTTAATAAGGCCTACAAACTCAAGATAACAAAACGAACGTTGTTTATTTCGCCTTATTCTAAATAACAATTTTAGGTACCGAAGTAATGCCTGGCATACAATTATCGAACATTAAATTAGTTTAATGCAGAATTTTTAAGGTGTCTAAAACATCCAGGTCAATTAATCAACTTACTATTTGCTTTTATAATACTAAGCGAAGCAAAATAAATGATTCCAAATTAATCTTCGTACAGTGAACAGAAAGTGACTTTGTTTTCATACATCAATATTGGAGTATATACGATAAGGAGCACAGCACTTTATTGGTTAATAATAGTTAATTCCATAGAGAAAATAACAAATAAGTTAATTAATACTTAGCGCAATTTTATTTTATGTTTTATGGGAAGTAACGAATCACAAAAAATTTCGTAATCTGGATACCATAATTGAAACGTACAATCAGATAAGTTAAGTTCGGCATGCAAATGCCGCCGGTTTTGAATAAGTAAAAAGATTATGACACCTATTTTGAAAGACCCACCAATTTGAATAAATCCGTTTAAACCTCTTTGATTTGTAGGTTTCTTTAACGTTAATTACTGACCATAGAGTCAAATCTCTATTATCATAAAAAGATTTTTCGAATAGAGAGATATATAGAGGCAGAGATTTATGTAGCAAGAGATAGAGATAATGATGTAAAATGGAGACATATACTTATGTTACGATCAGCTACATTTCAATTGCCATACGGTCATCTCTAATAGAGGTAGAAAGTGCATAGGCAATCATTTATTTCATTTCACACTAGTAAGTATAGCCCCCTTAATAGCGAGGAATACTATGAGAGCGTGAGAGCGTTTCTACAGTGCAGTAGGTTTATTTACTAGTAACTAACTAAACTAATACTAGTAACTAATACTTCAAAAAATATAGTATCTTAGAGTAAAACCTTGATTAGTTAAACTCTCCTTGTTAATTCCACACTCAACCCTTTCAACAAAATTTTTTATAAAATTGCAGCGTTGATTACTTACAGACATTTGTCACATCCTCAAGGCTTAAACTTTCTTGTTAATACTGGATAAACCGCAAATAGAGCGTTAATTCTCTGCTTGGTAATTACTCAATACTTTTACTACCTTCGCTGCAGGAATATTTATAGATAAAAAAATTAAATCTCTAAATATGGGCACATTCAAAATAAAGTTTCAAACGGTTATGCATACATACAGGCAGTATTCATTTTTAGTTTTGTATACAACAACACCAACAAATGGCAATAGTTTTGGCTGGCTTATCACCAATAAAATGGCGCTTCTACAAAAA